TTGGGCTATATTTAAGGGTTTCGGGCTATTATTTTGCCTACTTTTGGGGTTTAGGTAAACCCTACGTTAGTTTGGGGGAAAGTAGCCCTGAAAAGGCTGGTGCGAGCGAACCGCTTCAGCCTGGATACTGCGCCTTGGGTTTAGGCATTCGGTTTCATGCGGGTTCAGGGTTCAGGGTTTGGGAATTAGCGGTCTTGGGCTTTAGGGGTGTAGGCTATTCAGAGTTTAGGGATTTAGGATTTTGGGGGTTCGGCCTTTCGGTTTTCAAGGTTCAGGGGGTTCTGGTGTTTGCAGTTTTGTGTTTAGGGTTCAGCGTTTTCAAGCTTTCAGGGTTTAAGGGCGGAGATGTGAGGTGAAAGATTTTGGGGTGATAGCTGTTGTGCGCATTGGGGTCTTATTGCTTTTTTTGTTTTGAGAATGTAGGGTCTTTGCGATTAAGCGTTCGCACGGTCAGGGATGCTTGTTTGCGGTTCAGCTTCAGGGTTTGGGTTGCGAGACATTGGGATTCGGCATGAGTTGCTATGAAAGCAATTATCAAGGAAGATTTGAGGGTTTAGGGTTTAGGGCTTATAGGGTTTACGATTTAGGATTTAGTATTTAGGATTTGGGATTTAAGGGTTTTGGGCTCAGGATTTAGGATTTAGGGAGACTTAAGGAGATTTCATCCTTGGGGGTTCCAGTACTCAGATCTCAGTTGGGACACATGAACCTTAGCCGTAATCCCCCCTAAGCGCCCTGAACCCTCTAAACCCCAAAGCCCAACCCCCTAAACCTAAAGGCCCTAAACCCCGAAACCACCTTCCCTAAACCCTAAACTGCGTTCCATCCAAGGTGCTGTACAAGGTGGGTGAAGATGCCATCAGCGACGCCTTCGCACGTGCGGCCGATGCGTCAGACAGTGCGCAGGCGGGCAGAGATTCGGATAGTCCCCCTTAATAACTTAAGTAGATATAATATGTCTTTGGGTATATTATAATAAGATCCCCATATACCCCATATTCTATCTGCTTAAGTTATTAAAGGGGACTATAGGTTTAGGGTGGGTGTAGAGGGAGCTGAGTAGGATTTTGGGTGTAGGCATTGGGGCTTTGGGCTTTAGTGTCTTAGGCTGTAGGTGTATGATTTTTGGGTGCGCGGGCTACTCAGACCTCCCAATTACCAAAAAAGATAGAATTTGATCCCAAAACAGTGGCTACACAGTCCCTAAACCCTAAGCCCTGAACCCTAAACCCTTATTAAGAGTACTTAGATGGCCTAGGTAGCTTTCTGAGATTCCGGGTTTTAGGGTCGAGAGCTTAATAAGCAGTTTGGACATAATTTGGGCATTAGACTGGGTTCTATGAGCCTGAGTAAGGGCTGGTGACTTTGATAGGGTTCAGGGTTGAGGGTTTAGGGTTTTGGATTTGGGGCTAGAGGGTTTAGGGCTGTATGCTGTTGTGAGCTGAAGCTTTTGCCACGGGCATTTCGTCAACGTTAGACTCTAAACCGCGCAGGTGTGTTGGAATCACAATGGGATCTCTGGATGCTCTTGTCACATCTCTGTCTTACCCGGCTGCTCCACGGTTCAGGGTTTGGTGCTTAGTGCTCTGGGTTTAGGATTCCCTAAGGCATGTTTAGGCGACTTCCTGGTACAGCATGGTTGGGGCACCTTACGCCATCCAGAACTAGGAACCCTAAACCCTCAATCCTAAACCCCAAACCCAAAACCCGAAGCCCGAGGCATTTCCTCTCTGGAGGGTTGCTCCCAGACCCCCGTCAGAATCGCAGAGTTTGATCCCTCATGACATACGCTCCTAGCGACCCTCAGAATCCCAAAAGAATTCCCGACCAGATCTTAAGGGATCCATTTTTTAGAGCACTACCTGGACCCCAAAGGTAGGTAAAATAGGAGCCCAAAACCACTAAAAGCAGCCCAAAAGCCCATTATTCTACGTAATTTTGGGGTGTAGGTACGCCCTAAATCCTAGACCTACTGTGATAACAGCGACGCCGGGGAGGTGGTGCTGATCTTCCCCACTCTGCAAGAAGAGTGGCTGGTCTGCATAGGATTTTGGGGAAATAGTCTCCTCTTGAGTTTGTGTAAGCCACAAAGCTGCAGGATTTCAGGGCGCTTTAGAATAGCCCTAAACCCTAAGCCCCTAAACCCTAAACCCCTCTTGTTTCCTAGGGCTTAGCATCGGAACATTTGATCTCAGGGGGTGGCACTCTTCAGGGATGACTGTCAGTGTATGATGCCCCCGGCAGCTTCCAATCAAGAAGCTTGTGGTTGCCCCAAACGCGTTTAAAGGCCCCTATGACTGGGATTTGGGTGGGTTTATATGAGCTATAGTCTAAACTCCTTACGGGGGTTTTATTATATGGGGATTACTTGAGGGGTTGATTAGGGGGATACTAGGAGTTTAGACTATAGCTCATATGGCTCCTATGAGGTCTATTGGGGTTGGGTTTAATAAAGCCCACAGAATCATTCTGGATCCACATGCAAAACCAGTTTGCATGTACTGTTCCGTTTTCTTTTTCTATGTAATTCCCCATCAAATATACCAACATGGTGCCTGAGGGGCGCTTCCACATCTGCATTCTGAGTCCTTCTTTTGTAGTGCTTGTATTGGAGGTTTTCCAGGCCCCGCCTTCAGCTACTCTCAACAACAACAACAACAACAACAACAACAACAACCTGAAAATAATTTAGGCGTGGCAAAGTCTCATATAGCCCCTCTATACCCCTATACTCCACATATAACCTCTGTGAAGAAGCCCTTTTTAACTGACCCTCCCCCCCAAACTAGAGCGTGCTGAGCTAAGCAGCTAAGCCCTCAATCATATCCTAACCCCTTAAACCATACATCCTATAACCCTAAGCCCCTAAATCCTAAACCCTAAGCCCCTAAACCCCTAAACGTTAAAACCACCAAAACAGAAGGGAGCCCACCCCCCCCCGCCCGACAAAAAAACAAAAACTCAACCGTGCTGAGGCTGCAGAACAACCCCGAGGCGATGGATGAGCCTGCCCAGCGTGGTGCTGCTGCTAAGGCTGGTATTGGGGAATTGGTGTAGGGTTTAGGCTTAGGGCTTAAGGCTTAGGGTTTAGGGTTTTAGACATTGGGTCCACTGAAAGGGGCATTTGGGGATACTTAGGGTTCAAGGATTAGGGTTTAGGGTTTCAGGGTGCTGGATGTGAAATGGAAGAGAAAGTCAAGATTACCAGACGATCTCCGTTTTTGGTTTAGGACCTTTGCCGTTTAGGGTTTAGCGTAATTCGTAGGGAATCGGGGGGGAATGTGAAAGAACATGGAAGCTACTAGACCTTTTAGGGTTCATGGTGCTCGGTAGTAGGGAGCCGAGTAATTGTATGCAGACTACTTCAGGGACCCCCTAAGCCCTAAAGCCTAAACCCTAAACCCTAGACCCTTTCCATTATTACTTATTCCCTAATAAAGCCAGGGTAGCTCTAGACATGACTGTTCCTCAGTTAAGGGTTTAGGGTGTAGGGTTTTTAGGGTTTAGGGTTTAGCGTTTTTAGGGTTTAGGGTACATTGTTTAGGGTACCCAAACCCCCACAGGTTTCTGGAGATTGCAACGGCATCATAGGGGGTCCGGTTGATTGTCCGGTTGATTGCCTACAGGGACGATTTTGATGAAATCCTGAACCCCAAACCTCTAAACTCTAAACCCTAAAACTCTAAACCCCAAACCGTACAGAACCCCAAGCCCTGCAGCCCTAAATCCCAAGCCCTAAACTTTAAGCCCCACATGCTAACCTCTAAACCCCAAACCCAAAACCCTAAAGAGCTCAGGCACGCCAGGATGCCAGAGTGCCCCCCCATGTTTAGGGGGAGCCCTTAAGGACACTTGGGATATGTTTCGAGTGTTTTGGGGTCAAATGTTCATGGTTTTACCCTAACCCCTAATCCTCTAAACCCAAAACCCAAATCCCTAAACCCTAAACCCTAAACCCAAATCCCTAAACCCTTAAAACCCTAAACCCCAAACTACCATGGAGTCAAAAAAGGGACCTACAAAGACTACTACCTAAACCCCAAAAGTATGTAAAATAATAGCCCTAAATACCAAAATATAGCCCCAAAGGCCATTATTCTACATACTTTTGGGGTCTAGGTACCTCTTAAAATGGGGACCCAAATAAAAAGCATCCCAATCCCTGAGCAGAAGGGTTTAGGGGTTTAGGGTTTAAGGTTTAGGGTTTTCAGGGTTTTCAGGGTTTAGGGTTTAGGGTTGAGGGTTTGAGGTTGAGGGTTTAGGGTTTAGGGATAAGCGCTCTAACCTACAACTTCCGATTCCTGTTTTCCAGCCGTGTCAGGGACCGGAGGCGGCAGTGAAAAACGAGGAGGAGCCCCGGGAAAACGAGTACTTACCCAAAAGGTCCCCTAAGGGTCCAAGGACCCAAATACTAGGGTCCCTTTAAAGGGGTTATTGGGGGGATATATAGGGATATATGGGGACTTTCTAGGGGTATATGGGACCCAAATAATAGGGCTTGAGGGCCCAAATACCATAATATGAATGGTATTTGGGCCCCAAAACCCTATTAGTTGGGTCCTTGGACCCTTAGGGGTCCATATGAGCCATAGTTAAATGTCCTTAAAGGGGGCAATATTAGGGTTTAGGGTTTAGGGGTTTAGGGGCATAGTCTAAAGTCCTTAAAGGGGGGAATATAAGAGATTATATGAAAACTAGATTTCTACAGGGAATTCAAGGAGTCTAGACTATGGCTCATGTGATTTTCTGAGATATATATATATATATGCACTGAGGGCCAGGGTTCAGGTATAGGATTTATGGTGTAGGGTTCCCATTTACTCACTTCAGGGCTTAGATGTATAGGGTTAGGTAATGCAGAAAGTTGGGTTTAGGGCCTTGCGGTCTGCATAATGGCTATTGTTTGGAACAAGGGGTTGGGGGGGTTCATTTTATTGTAGTTGCATATGCAGAACCTCATAGGATCCTGTTGGGCACCCTAAACCCTTTAACCCTAAGCCCTGATCCTACATCCCAAACCCAAAATCCTACACCCCAAACCCTGAATCCTACACCTTAAACCAAGGTTGGAGGTTCGCGGGTTTGAGGCTTCAAGTCTATCGTTTAGGGCGAAGGGCCTAGGGTATAGGGTTTAGGGGTTGGGGTTTGGGGTAGGGCTGCTACTGCTTGTATTTATCGTCTTCCACGTGGTGTTTTACAGGATTCTGTCAGGTTTGACCGCCGGTGTTTCGTTGATTGACCCCATATTGGGGATGTCGGATTTGAGCATGTCAGCATAGCTCCAGGTCTCTAGGATGCTAGTACGTATTTCATTTCACGGCAACAGAGCACACAAGCCCTGTACTTTAGCCCCCCCGAAAAGCCGGGATATCTGGATCTCTTGACTCCACGCAGCTGGGGGATCTGAGGTCAAAATCATGGTCCCTTTTTGGGTCCCCTAAATTAGGCCCGTATTAGAACCCGTATTATAATAGGGACCCAAATCAAAAAGGGGCCATGATTTTGACAATCCCCAATCTGCACGCCAGAGCGCTCTTGACTTGTCGCATTAAGAAGTCCCTTAGCTCTGCCTCCCTACCTGGACCCCAAAAGTATGTAAAATAATGGAAAAGCAAATGGAAACTACTAGATCATTTAGGGTTTAGGGTTTAGACCCCAAAAGCATGTAAAATAATGGCCTTTATGGCTATTCTTATGGGTTTAGGGCTATTATTTTGCATACTTTTGGGGTTTAGGTAATCCCTAATCCCCGTGAACCCTAGAACCCTGAAGATCCTCTCAGCCTAAACTGGCTTGGATCCTGATGGTTCAGCAGTGCACCTTTTGTGATGCTCAGTGTCGAGGGTTCAAAGGGTAAAGGGCATGCAGGTTTAGCACTGTCGAGGTATTATGTCTTTCATGGAGTTTTGGGTTTTATGCGGTGCTGAGTTTCAGGCTTAGTTAGTTTTGTTGGCGCAGTTTTAGAGGTGTTTGTTTTGCACGCGCCCTCCCACCAACATGGACACCTATGTCAATATGAGCCCCAGCTCCAGGGAAAGTAGTCGTCGTACTGCCTGTTTTAATGTCAGCTTGAGGAAGTAAAGCCTCATACTTTCTTCTCACACACTATCTATATAGAGTCATATGCATATATATATATATATACACCACATCCCTGCATGTATTCTTCAACCCCTTCATATCTTAAGTACTATAACATATGGATACGTTTATAGATGCCCGTACACTGCAGGATTCTTTGCAACCTCCACCCCTTCATGTCTTCTTGAATACAGGCTGCAAATTTCTTCCTAATGTATAATGTATACGTACATCTATACATACATACCTACATACCCAGTAGCTACCCTTCAACCACTTGATATCATCAGGATGAGGAAGCCCTAAACCCCTGAACCCCTAAACTCTAAACCCCTAGATCCCGAACCCCTAAACTTCTACCCTAAACCCGTAAACCCTAAACACCTATACAGCTGAAATAGTAAATTCCTAAAGTTCTAAAAATCTTAAAACTTACACAAACCGCAAAATTTTACAAATCCTAATTAAAGCCAGCATAGACCACAAATTGTAAAGAACCCTAAACCTAGACCCCTAAGCTGTACATAACCAGGATGAGCGAGAGAAGCTGAAGGAGGACTGGCTGAAGCTGCTCTTCACCGACTCTTAGACCGAAGTAGGATTGGTTTAGGACAGGTTAGGATTTTATGACCATAATAGGGATATAAACCCAAGAAATCAAGGAGCACTTACCCTCCTAGGGCTCCTTTTTTAGCGCAAAATTCCTAACCTGGTTTAGGATTTAGAACTTGGGTTTAGATCATTAGGGTTCGCGGTCAGGGTTTAGGATTTAGGGTTTCGTTTAGGGGTCCGGGTTCATGGTGTTTAGTTTTGGGGTTTAGGGTTTAGGGTTTAGGGCTTAGGGTTCTGCGCTTGGGTTTAGGATTTACGTGGAGGCCACTGGGATTCGGTGACTACTTATAGCTGGGCTTACAACCCTACTTACACTCCCCCTGGCTCGAAGCCGGATCGTCCCCGCAGCGTTTTAATAGTTTGTCTTCTCTACGCTCAGGTACCGAGCTCAATCCGACATTGCGCAGCAACATCGACCAGGGGCGAATAAATGAATAAGTAATCCCAGTAAATAATCAATATCACAAAAACCAAAAAACCAATACCAAAAAAACACAAAGAAACAATACCACAAACACCAAAAAACCAATACCACAAAAGCAAAAAAAAACTAAAAACAAACCATATTTCAGGGACATCAATTTAATTTGGAACTATTCTGTAAAATCAACATGTCTATTTCTTGCTTTTTGTTTTTTTAGTACGTTTTTGGTTTTGTTTGGTATTTGTTTTTGGCTTTTTTGGTATTGGTTTTTCTGTTTTTTAGTATTGGTTTTTATCTGTGTTCTTCTTGTTGTTTTTTGTGTTCTTGGTATTACTTCACGAGAATGATTATGTGGCATTGTGTTGAGCTTGGCATGCAAGCATTTAGGATAAGCATGAAGCATGTTTGTTCAAGTTGGCGATTAAGTTCTAGCATGGCTTCCCAGCAGCGCATCCCAATGGATATCCTGCGGAACATCCGCGACTTTTCTCAGCCGAAACTTTTTCTGAAATTACACGATTATAAGACACGCGCATGCATTTCATGTTGTTCATGTAAGGACCCAACGCGGAAGCTGACATCGCGACCATCCCTGCAGCACCTGCTTATTTTGAACGCCACATCGCGACCTTACCTGATGGTTTCTTGACTGACTTGTAATAGACTAACTATATACTATTTGTTTTTTTAATTAATTGTGCGATTTAAACACGTTATGGCTCAGGTTCGAGAGAGATGGATGTCTGCAACGTTATTCTCAAGTTAACTGAGACCGGTGAGGAGCACTTGACTTGTGATGATTTGCTCGCATTGATTAGCTAAGCCTAAGCTATTCGATGTGCCTCTGTAGAGTGACTGCCACCGTGACACGCAGGAATGACAAGACTGACAAGCTGCACATGTTAACAATGTGTGATAACGTTGATGCAAATGCACACGTCTTGTTGTCAATGCGTAAATCATAAATAACATGCATAGCAGCACTCCAGATCTCGAGTTTCATTTTCAGTTTCGCGCCCATTACGCAGAACATGGCCAGCTTCCGTGCTGATGAAGGTGGAATGGATGGGGCTCTCAATTTTGACGAAGCCTGTGGCCAGGTGAGTGGCATGAAGCTATAGGGTCAGGAGAGGCGTCCATTCAAGTCGGACCGCCCGGTAGGCGAGCTCGACATTGGCGATCTTCCCGTACGTCAGTTAGACTCAACAGCGGCTAAAGTTGAGCAGTTCGCAGACGCCATCATGCATCATCCTCTCAATGTCACCAACAACCTCTTCGATACGTTGTACAAGTACTGTTGTGAGAACAAGTTCGCACAGCTGCCCGAGCCATTCAATCTCAGAATCGAACCCAAGATCCCGTACACCATGCAGATCATCATCCAATCAACATAACCACCTCCCGAAGGCGATCCCAACGGCTCCTACGTCCACATTTTCAAGCACATCTACCTTCACAAAAACAAGGTACCTGCGTCAGATTGCGTCAACATGTGCCGTGGGAATCCTCTGCGTTTCGATTAATCAGACAAGGCTTGCCCTCTCCGGTCTTAATTTCATGATGCATCAGATGGGAGGTAAACAGCTTCGCTTCTGGATCATCAAGCCTAAGTTTGAGAAAAAGATCACCTTGGACCAGCAGGCACGCGATGAGGGCTACAAGTTCACTCGAGATTTCGGGCCCAAGAGCAGCAACCGAAATCAGTTCATGGAGTGGACAGATGAGCATATCAACACTCCAGGCAGCAAAATCGAGGGATGGCCTGAAGGTAAAGTGAAAGAGGCACTCCACAACTACATGCGTGGCAGGCAGAACGCAAAGACTCTGGAGTACTGGCCATTTACCTTGAGATCCTTCACCCCTTGGTTCTTTGATCTAGTATTCACAAAAATGCTGCCAACTATGCGCCAACACTCCATCACCTGGATCAGGCGCACACGCACAGGCAAGTCGCTCGGATCCAAGACGATACTGCTTGCGCAATCCAAGTATGAGATTGACTTGGCTGAACGGGTTGATTTTGTACCATCAATTGTCACCGCCAAGCACTTGGACTTCTTTAAAGCAGAACCGCTTACGCGCTTCAAGCCGGGTGTCTTCAATGACGGCATGCTCCAGAGAATGGATGCCTCGTTCCTCAAGGCCTTTCTCAATCCCTCTGATTCTTGACTGCTCATATATATAATCGTCTAAATCATAAGTACTCATAGGTTATACGGAGACACGGACATACTCACACACATAGACACATTCTCATACATAATTGTTCCTACACCAAGGAAGAGGACGCCACGGTGTGGGCTCGTTACTCGTCCGCTCACTTCGAGCAAGGCGCCGGGCGTCATGCTTGTAATAAATCTTATGATCGTGACGCTGACGAAAAGTTCTTCAAGACGATGGACGCCAGCAAGTTTTGGGAGATTTCGCACGACGAGTTCCTAACTTTGATCGCTCCATCTTTCACCGCTGTTGACGATAAGGAGGATATGGACGCCATCCTCGCCCGCGCCCACATGATCATCATCACAGACAGCGGCGTGTACTACCGGGTGGCAACCACTGACAAGCGCCCTGTCACCTTCATTCCTTGGGGCAATGAACCTAAGGATCTGCTTGCCGCCTCCCAGCACGAGATTTTCAGGGCTTACAAGTTGAATCCACATCTTCATCAGCTTCCTCCATCGTACCACGAAGACTCCGCATGGTCACAACGGCGAGAGCATTCCTCGTGGTCGTGTCATCTACCAGCCTCGGGGTTTGTTTGGCGATGCGCGGCACTTGCGTTTTGTGTTAGGCATTAGTTTTTGATTTTGATCTTAATTCTGCTTGTCTAATAGAAACATAGTGTCATTATATGTTAGTTCCGTTATTTCGTGGTATTACTATTTGATTTGCTACTGTGATCATTTAAAATAAAAACATAGCGTCATTATATGTTATTTCCGTTATTTCTTGGTATTACTATTTAATTTGCTACTGTCATCATTTAAACAGCAGGCCTCCCCAGCAAGTTCGCCCTGTACTTCTTTCAAAAAGTGATCTTCGTCAGAAGGTGAAGAAGGAGAACAGCGACCATGCCTTCCGCACCTTGAAGAACACTGGTCCTCACACTATCGATTTGGATTCTCCCTCGCCATCTCCGCAAAAGCGAGTTAACGAGGAAAGCCATCGTGAAGATTCGTCTCGCTCCTCCAAGATTGCCCGCAGCAATGGTCCATCATCTTCGGCGTTGCACATTCCTAATCCTGATTTCGAAGGCCTTTGAATAATTGTGCTACATGAAAATCAAATGCGTTTATGTGTGTTTAGCTAAGCATTACTTGGTTCTGCTTTCGCAACGTACAAAACAGGTCTCGCGTCTGTTGCGGATGACACACAGGGTCCTGACCACGTCGCCGATGACGTAGAGAAGGAGTTGGGCAAGGTTATGAGCCATGAGATGGACATCGATACTACGCAGGAGTAGGTCTGAGATAGCTTGCACATCGACGATTTCTGCACACGCGTCTGTGAAATCCGTGTGGTGTAGTCAGAGAGACTGTATGTATTAGGACAACTATAATGCATACTTAAAACATGTGGTATAGGAGATAAAGGATAACACGTTTTGAGACGCGCTATGTTTGACACAAAAACTGCCGTGCACACTTCCTGCGTCCGCGGCATTAAAAAGAACTTGTTTGCGCTTCTCACATTCCAGAATCGTGCGTTTACTCATGAACTGATTGCGTTTTATTGGTTTTCCGTAGCTGCCTGGTTCAATTCGGATTAAGTAGCCTTTCGACATCATGGCGTCATACACGGATTGGATCGCACTCAGAAGCGCCATCCTGGCCTCTGAGTTTGTGAACAGGACAGAATTTCTATCCACTGTGAGGTACAGCACCATACTTCGTCCAGATGCCTTGCCGGACACAGTTGCTACGCGAGCCCTTCTGGCACTTCAAGCGCTCAAGCTGGTGCCGGATGAGAGACTATGTCCTAGTTGCTCTTCGCCCTACAAGCTGATGTACAAGAGCAAGGTCTATTGCTGGTACGGTAGTAGATCTACGAGTTCGGGCTGCACTGACTGCCTTGACAAGGAATACCTAGCATCTTCCATAGGTTTCCTTCGCCATGTAAAGCCGTCCTTGCGGATGTCCAAATTGGAGTGTTTCGCCTTATGGATTTTCGAGTACCCCCGACAGCACATAGTTCGAGAACTTCACCCTACACCACACGAGAGCATCGACATGTGGATCGCGTCATTTCAACAAACTCTGCGTGGTTGGTTTCAGCTACAGATGCGGAATGGCTTTGACAGCGCCATGTCGCAGGATATCTTGAAGAAACCTGCTGCTCAGAAAATCTCTACAAAGAAACCCGCTGCCAAGTCAAGCTTTATCCTCAAGAGGCCTGCCACCTCCATTATCTCCTATGAAGGTATCATCCATGTGCAAGAAGCCTTCGACCTCTTCTACCTCTTCCAAGAAGCCGACCAAATTGCATCTAAGGAACGCTGGCAAAGCTCGAATTTTCATCGCTGACGAGACGCACCTCAACAAAAAGAAGCCAGGCATTCTATCACAATATGGTCGCCTCCAGAAGGACCAATTATGGCTATGGGGCGCGGTTCTCCACAAGCATCTCAAGACGCACTTCATTTTTCGAATCCTCAAACATGTTGAAGACGCACATTATGGTAAACCTCGTGGCAATGCAGAGATGCTTGATAACCTTTCCATGCTCAATATGAAGAAGGGTGATATCTTTGTGTCGGACAAATGGAAAGCTACTCTGTCAGCACTCAAGGCATATCGCCGCCAAACTAAACTATCTGAGTCTCAGCTTCGGCATGAGGTCGTGAATCATTTGCAGGGCGAAATTGTAAATGGTAACGGCTTCAGTACCAATGCCATTGCGTGTAAATGGTCCGTCATCAAAAGATGGATCAGGAAGGAAAGGTAATATTGCCACAGCATGCTGATCGCAATAAGTGGGGCCTGCTCATAGATGAGTATCAGGCGCGTGAGTTACTCAAAGGCCGCGATTATGTGTGTCTGGACCGTGGCAACATCGTCACGGTACGCTTGCGCAATGTAGTGTCGCTTTTCCGCGTTGCGTAACTTGTTATTATTTTGTAGACAATATCGTCACGTTACGCTTTCGCGATGTAGCGTCATTTTTCCGCGTTGCACAGACTGCTTTCCATATAAGCGCTCAAGTCCAAGAAAAAACGTGCGCATGCGAGTTCTGGAGTGCTGCTGACATGTCGCGCGCGCATTACACTACTGTGTCATCTTACGAGCCACAGCCTCAAAACACATGAAGTTCATGAGACCATGAAACAAGAAAAACCACTAAAACGCTGCGGGGATGATCTCGCTTGGAACCCTCCGCCCCCCTGGCTCGATGGGCTTATAGGGGTTACCCCAATTACATGTAGGTTATATTATAAGCCCAGATGAAAGTAGTTACTACGTCCCATGGGCCTCCAAGTAGGGTTTAGTTTAGGGTTTGTGGTTTCGATCGGTGCAGTGCGGGGGCAGAGTGGATGGTGGGGGGAAATCATGGCAAATCAATAGGCTCACCCTGAATTGTAGTTGATATAGGATTTTAGGGTTTAGGATTTCAGGGTTTAGAGTTAGGGTTAGGAGTATGAGTTATCTTAACGTGCTCAGGCTAGCAGAGGGCATGCAAAACTTTCCCTGTTGAGCTTCTCTGGCCCTTCGATGTAGAACTACAGCTTTGTCTTCAAGTCGCCGGGGCCCTGAGCACTAAATCCTGACCCATCTTATGTTCTGCAGGGCTGTTCAGGGTTGAGGGACAAGCCTCAGTGCAGACTGCAGAGGATACCTCAGCTGTGAAGTTTGAGCCTTGAGCCTACACCCTAACCCTGTACCCCAAAACGTAGGTAAGCTCATGGCCCGAAACTTTTAAAACATGATTTGAGACATTTTGGGGTCCAGGCAAGATTACTCATCCGAAGCCCCGAATCTTCAACCATGAGCCATAAACCTGGAATCTCGCTGAGGATGGAAGCATGGCAGCTACCACACCAGAGGGTCCTCTCCCCTCCACCATGGAGCTCGGTGAGAGGCCGTCCTTTGTTTAGGGTTCAGGGTTTAAAGCCTTGGATGTAAACTATCAACCTCCGGAAGGCTCAACAACATGGCCTCGTACTGTAGTCCGTCGTGTATGCTATGTTGCCACACAGTTTGGAGCTGATGGTTCGGGGATGGTTCCTGTTCTGTCTGTTCTGGAATAAGAGGAGCCAAGAAAGCTCAACACCCCAAATTAGGGCCTTCGTATGGTCATCGGCTAGCTGTAGGGTCTGCATCTTGTGAGGTTCATGCTTCAAGAGTAGGGTGCGCACTTCCCAAGGGATCGCTTCCAAACCGCTATTCGTTTAGAAAAAGGCCTAGACAAAGTTCCATTTTAGTGCGGGAGGGTCCGACTGAGGGGTTTGGAGGCTGGCCTGCTGCTTCCAGTTGTTGGTTTGGGGTTTAGGGTTGGTGTGTAGGGAGTTTGAGAGAAGTGCCAGCAAGAAGACAGGAACTACCATACCGCCGGCCCCAAATTCCCCCTCAGTTAGCATTGCTTTGGAGAAAATTAAGGCCGGCCAAGGCCAACTAAGGTCTAGGGGGGGCCTAGCACAGGCAACCTTAAACCCTAAAACCTAAACCTAAACCCTTAACTCTAAAGCCTAAAAACAAAAGGGACAGCAGCCAGAAATCTAGGAAAATGGACTTAGACCCTACCAAGCCCCAAGATTCTAAACCTTAAAGCTCCCCACCACCCAAACCCCTAAAGCCTATACCCTTAAAGCCTAAACCCCTAAAACCTATGAGCCCCCCATGGAAGGAAGCCCGAAACTCTGGTACTTTGGGTGGGAGACAACCCCAAGGCCGAGGGCGTGGCCCTCAAGGACGGCGCGTTAGGGTGTAGGGTTTGTAGGGTTTGGGGATTAGGGTTTAGGTATAGGGCCCGCTAATGGTGGTAAGGGGTTGGGGGTTTAGGCTTTCAAGGGTTTAGGGTTTGGGTTTCGAGGGTTTGACGGGCTTAGGGTTTGGGTTGTGGGGCTTTAGGGTTCGGGTTTAAGGTTTAGGGGGTTAGGGTTTCGAGGGTTTAAGGTATAGGTGAGGAAAAGACGGGGCATGATGCATCTGGAATATGAGTGCTACATAAGTTTTTCTTCTTGGTGGGCTAGGGCTAGATTTTGGGTAATTGCGTATGAAGGGTTTAAGAGTTACAGTTCAAGGTTTCGGTTTTGAAGGTTTGGGTTCCGGGATTCAATATGTGGGTTCCAGGGCTCAGGATTTGCTACTTTAGCTTTCGGTTTTCAGCATGTAGGGCTTGGGACGCACCTGCTATGAAGAAAGGGTCAAGGGTTTAGGCTTTACAGCTTCAGTTGCCTGCAGGGTCTAGGGCATAAGATCGACGGCTAAGGATTTAGGCTTTAAGCGGCCCGCCTGCTCATAACTATACCATGCTATGGAAGAAATTCTGGGTCCCAATTCCCTAATGGTTGTATATGTGGACCCTCTGGGTATAGTTTCCAGAGCGTATCGCGTTGCATCACACAATTCTGTGCATGTATGGGCATCGCCTTGGTGTTGGCGTTTTGGGTCACTACGAGATTAACTGATTTATTACGTGGTTTATGGGGGTTGGAAGTATACTTACTCAGTGTTCCTCGGCCCTAAACCCTAATCCCAGCACAGTATATTAGTAGTTTCTACTTTGTTTTCCATTTTACAGAATCTCTCCCGACGACCCCCAGCAGGATGTGGCCAACGTCCTGGGCCGAGCAGGTCTGTCCTCGCTGTCCTGGTCCCAGCATCCCGCAGGCGACCGAAGGGAAGGAAGGGTTAGGGCTTGCTAAACCCTAAACCCTACAACCTAAACCCCTAAACCCCTAAATCCCTAAGCCCTAACCCCTAAGGGTTTGGAGCTTCGAGTTGCGGCGTGTGGGGCTGAAGGTTCAGGGCCTAGGGCTTAGGCTTTAGGGTTTCGGGTCTAATGTAGACCCTAATTACTAAACCCCCCCCTCAATGGGGATTATAGTAAGGATCCTAAGATTACACTAAACCCTAAACCCTAAACCCTAATATATATATATAATAACCAGAGTCGAACTTCAAGTTGGTGTTTGGGCTCCAGCGCTTGGGGTTTTAGGCAGTAGCTAATTTGCGCGGTAGGGCAATGAACATAGGGTTTAGGGTTTAGGGGAAGAACCCTGAACCCGAAAACTCACCTTAGTAGTGACACTCACTGAACTCTAACTTTTTAGATGCAGCTACTTCTGGTAGTGACAAGAAGAGGAGCAATAGAATAGTGGCCATAAAGAGGCTTTGTAATTTCCATAAATTGGGGGGCCCCATTCCCCAACCCTAAACCCTAAACCCTAAACCGTCCAATATAGAGCCCAACATACTAGAACTCGTTGTCTGCGAAATACATATACAGCAATAATTTAATGGGTAT